TGTGACCAACACGCGGAAGATATATTAAAGTCACCTACTATAACAAAATAATCATCAGGATGATATATGAGCAAATTAGATACACTTTCAAAAAAATAGCACAATGCTTCATAATGTGATTTACCATGTGGGAAGTAGCAGCAGTACAAATGGAGGGACTGCGTAAGAGGAGCTGATGTAAGACCAATAGAAACTTGTATAATTTCCGCTCCGGAAATGGAATGAGCAACTGAGGACCTAATATTTAAGTGTGTTTTAACCGCAATTAAAACACCTCCTCCCAAGCTTTTCCCTAGATCACTATATTTCCGGTCATTCCTATAGACCGTGTACCTGGAATCAAACAACTCGGAGCTATTTATTGATTCATTTAGCCACGTTTCACTAAGACAGAAAATATCTGAATCGAATTGTATCATATTCCTAAAAAATGAAGTGGTTTTTGTTCGTAAGCCCCGTACATTTTGATATGTGATATTTATATTATTAGACATTATTAAATAATAAATATATGGACCATAAGACCATTACCATTAAAATCAAGCAGTAAATAAATTCATAAATTGCAATTATATTTAGTACTATTGTAAAAAAATAAATAATATTAAATGTTATTATGGGAAAATAAAGATGTCCTAAATCCTTCAAGGGAATAAATACATAGTTATAGCTAAAGCCTTTTTTTATAAGATAATTCACGTTTTATAAGATTCTTATTTACGAGTATAAGTACTTTGAAGACATTAAAACTTCACTTTATTTCTATAAAAGATTTCATAAAATTGTGACCTCACCAAAGTTTGGCAAGTAAGTATAAACACCTTTGATAAATAACAAAACGACTAAAAATTTTGTTTGCGTATATATCTAGATCTATCAAAAATTTAAATAATAAAAAAGAAAATAAGCCTGGAAAATTTATGGAATAATAAGTACTTCTTGTAATAATTTATCTTTAAGACATACTTTGAGTACACTTTCCTCAATGGGAGGAATAGACTATAGTTCACTGCATCCACCAAATTCCGGTTGATGGGTTTACACGTCTATCGAGAACTAGGTATTTTAAATAAAAGGTGGGTAGGCTATCTGTAACAACTATACCTCCAAGACATGTAACACCTCAGTCTCTCCCGTGACCATGGATGCTGTAAAGCATTCGAAACGTCGGGAAACAAAAATCCAAATAAATCCGCGAAAAAATCCGAAAAGATAGTTTTATTTAAAATGTCAAATATTCGCGTAAATCTAAGAAAGTATTATGAAAACTAGGTAAGTTTTCTTAGTTATGCAAGTAGGTGATGTTTAATGTTATTCGCATTTTAAATCAGTGGAGTAAGTTCACTATTACTCAAGTTATTATTAAGCACTTTTCAAACCAAAACAAAATGGGACAGGTTTCGTTTATTATTTATATGGGATTTGCGATATATGTATGCGTGAAATGATTTTTAAGGATAAAATGTGACATATGGTATGATTTTAAAAATTGAATGGAAACGATGAATAAAATAATGGAAGGATAACACTATCCTAACGCCAGCACGACGATATGCGTAAGCATGGTTTTCTATAGTTTGAAAAGAATAAATAGTTGATGAGTTATAAACGCTTTTATTTGTATCTGACATATATTTATCAAAAAAACATGTGTCAAGTGGATAAAACCTAATTTAATACTTTTATAAAGCGGGCAAAAATTTAACGGTACTTAGTAAATTGCCATATTGGTGCAATTTTTATTTGGTAAATGAAACCTTAAAGTAGCTAATCGTTACACGAACTGAAGTCTTGATTATTCACGGCCATATATATAAAATTATGCCCAAGATTGAATGTTCGCCCAGAGGTTGAAATTCGACCATGGTCATTTTTTTTATTGATAATACTAAAAAAAATTACAAGCTTTTCAATAGCTACCAGTGGCGAAGGGTGAAATTTTAGCAGAGATAAGCCGTTCCAAAAATATACAACTTTTATATACGTACCAGCATTGCCCGCGGCTCCGCCCGCGTTCAGATGAACAAAAACCAAATTCTTAGGTTTTACAGATGAGTATAAATTTACATTGTAGTTTTTGCATTTTTTCTCAGAAATGGGATATTTTCCCGCGGTATAAAGTATTCTATATGTTGATCCGGATAACCAGCTATCACCATACCAAATTTCATCAAACTCCATTCAGTGGTTTTTCTGTGATGCGGTAACAGACAGACAGACAAAAATTCTAAAAACTATAGATTTGGCCTCTGTATCGATAATAATGTCTATTTCAATAAGATTTTCCAAAAAATATTTAATATACAGATTCGGCTTCGTTACAATTTTATTATATGTATAGATAGGCGTAAAGGAATCTTGAAAGCCATTATTCAAGGAAAATATTAACTGAGAGCACACACTGATTAGATTTAATGTTCTGTTAGTCAAGAGGAACGGGGATATACGAGTATGTTACATTGTCCTAAATTAATATTACTAATTTCTAGCGGGTAATGGAGGGTAAGTCCCTCTCGCTCTGCGCCCTCGCTTTATTGAACAGACATATTTTATCTATCTATACATATAATAAAATTCTAACTAAGCCGAGCCTGTACATTAAATATTTTTTGGAAAATCTTATTGAAATAGACATAGCCGAATCTATAGTTTTTACAATTTTTGTCTGTCTATCTGTCTGTTACCGCATCACGGAAAAACCACTGGAGGGATTTTGATAAAATTTGATATGATGATAGCTGGTTATCCGGGTCAACATATAGGATACTTATTATCACGGGAAAATATCTCGTTTCTGAGAAAAAAACAAAAACTGCATTGTAAGAGTATACTAATCTGTAAAACCTAGGATTTTGGTTTTTGGTCATCTGAACGCGGGCGGAGCCGCGGGCAATGCTAGTCTAGGATATAAAGTTGTTCGTAAAATTCAGAATAATTTTTTAAAAAAGTTCCTCGACCATACGAAAAGAAATATTTATTATTATTATAATATTCTTAGTATTAATTGTGAAAGTGCAAACAGATTTACTGTTTTATTTAGCGTGTACTTTATAAATACACAAACGTGTGTTTGTTATTTGTCATTTTTTCTTCGGAAGTACTCAGTATTTGTTTTTCATGCTAGGAGTTGTTTTGTTAGTTCTACGTATACCAACCCTTATTGGATAAGAACACCATAACTTAAAACTAAGCGATACTGTCTTCGTCTAAGTGGGGCATAGTTTATCTACATTAAACACGCTACTATGATCTCCCACAGAGTGCTTTATATTCGGATATAACCGATTACTAAGGATGTTGAATATAAAATTTCAGAACGAACGAAAATTGGTGTTCAAACCTACAATTTAATCTCATTACCACTATGCCTATGTGTTTTTTCATAATAACTCTATCATAACTTGCTTCTCCTTGCATATGTGTTTGAAAATTCACGTAGTATTATGTAATATTATTCTATATTTGCTAGAACACCAGAGATAAGCGATAGCGCCATTCTGTTGGAAAGTCATCCCTCTGCTACTTTTGTGTTGCTTTTAGAAATTCAAATTGATAATAATCTGTAATTCGTATAAATTTAATAATTCTAATTCGTAAAAATCTGTAATTCGTATAAATTCAATTTGACGACTTGTTTGGCTCAGTTTGTAGTGACCCTACTAGCCGTGCCACCGGTCGCGGGTACTAGTCCCGCTGGGGGCATTCATTTGTGTGATGAGCACGAATGTTTGTACTCCAGTCATGGGTGTTTATATTTATATTATGTATGTATTTAAACTTACTGACTCGTAGCTTGCCATGAAATTAGATAGTGCTGTGTGTTAATGTCGCAACATATTTATTATTATTATTTATTATTAAAAACGTAAAAATATTTGAAATTTCGAATTGAATGAAGCTTCGAATTTCTATAATCAATCGAAACACAAAAGCCTACTACAGATTGAGAGTATCGTTGAAGGTTTCGTTTTGCTCTTATAACAGCTTCTTGAAAATATATAAATCTATCGTTTGGTAAGAAAGTGATAAGGAAAAAATATTTTTGATATCTTTATAAATGTTATTTTGATTGAAATATTTTTAGAATGTTATATTTTTATTTTGGGACAAAAGTAGTATCAGTAAACTAACTTAGATAAACTTAGTTAAATATGAGAAAATCAAAATTCTAAGTTAAATTTATTTTGATACAAACATTTAACTACGAACAGAGCTGCTGTAACTCGGTATATAAAATATTTCTTGGTAACATTATTGAAATTTTCTACACTAATGTTTTTGATGTATAAAATACTTAACAAATGGAACGCTAATTACTAACTTTATGCTAGCAATTTTCACTTAAACTTGAAATCCACTCTACACTAATGATTCTTAACAAGTTTTTTAAATAGAATATAGTCTAATTTACAGATAATGGATTTTTCCATCTTTAAAATACTTTCTTGTGTTTGTATTTTTCATATATTCTGGTAAAGTTCTTTATACTATAATAACGTGTCATCTACCCATTTGCACACTCATATCTACATATAATAGATTCGAGTACAAAGCACATCGAATATACGACCAACTGTGCGGTGACAGTATTTGGCATATTCTGCCATATTGGGCCAACTATAACAATCTAACTAAACTATCATAGAGAAGTAAAATATATAAATTAACTAGCAGAACCCGCGGTTACAAAAAAACTCTTTGGCTTTATGTTAATTTAGTGAATCCACCTTCGAAAATACTTTACGACCTATTCTCATAACTACCAAATGTTCAAAAAAAGACATTAAAACAGGTCGTGCCATTTTGGAGGATTTCGATCACAAACACCGTGACACGAGATATTTATTTTATATATTAGATTTGTAGAAGATAATCTTTAAAATTAATAAATACGTTTTTAAAATCTATCGTTAATAGCATATAGCCTTTTTTTATTAATAAAAATATATTTTCTCAAACCAAGTATATCAAATCTAATATTTCTTTTTTTTCAGGAAAACATGGTTAAGAAAAAAGTATACCGAGCTATGCATATGAAATTCAAGAAGTTCTGCAAACACTGTTCAATTCATGGCGTCTATTACTTCTTCAGTAATTCTAACTGGTGGATTCATTTGGTTTGGTCTACTTTGATAGCATCGAGTGTTTGTTTGTGCGCGTATCTATGCCATATGATTTGGAGAAAATTTGTAGATAACCCAACATTTACAGTTGTAAGTATTTTGCTGTAGAAACCCTTAGCCTTTAGAATTGAAGTGCTGAAGACTTCTTAACAAAACATAACACCTCGTCTTATCACCTCTACTGGTTGGTGACAGGAGAGCTGGTTCGTTTTATGCATAAAGAATCACAATTCGGCGAGGAATGCGGCTAGCATTCCTGCCACAATTCCAAGCGGACATGACTTATACAGTAATAATTAAGTGCACATTTCTTTGTATATGTAGTTAAGTATATCTGTAATTTTCATAGTTATGCCACTAATATTATAAATTATTATGCTACTTTTTGATTTTAAATCTTCTTTGCCTAAATTTTGAGTGTATTTAAAAATTGCGGCAAGCGTTAAATTTAATCGCGCGGGCTATAAAGCGAAATTAAAATTCAATAATAATTAAAGTTTAATTTTAATTACAAAATCAATCTACGAATAAAAGACAGTTCGAACAAAACGCTAAAGACTCTACAGGAAAAATAGTTATTATAATTACTTCCGTAATTTTTTTAAGTCTTTTAAAACCATCTTACTCGCACTTGCGGTGCGTTTAAAAACTTAAAGCTTAATAACCATTGAATAAACAGTATTTTAATAACTTTTATGTTAATAAAATATTGCTATTGGCAGGTTGAATCTACACACTATCCTGTTGACCGCATAATTTTTCCTGCGGTTAGTATCTGCGATCCTGAAATGGTTTACGGGCCTAGTACGGAAAATATAACACAGATATTGTAAGTATAATATCTTTTTTAAATTACTCTATTTTTAATACAATTGCGTAAGAATTCAAAGTTCGATTTCCGCTTTGGATGATTTTATAGATGACATAATATTTTATAAGCCCGATCGTGATACTGACTGACTGGTCTCAATCAAGATGTGAAATTGAAATATATTTTATATTTCGTATGTAGTGGGTCGAAACAAATTTTTTGAGAGTAAAAAATTTATAATAATCAATTTGCAATGTAAAATGGTGATCTTACTTACTACTATAATAAATTATATCTTTTTATATAATTTAATTATTTAATATAATATATTAAATATCTAAAAAATATTTACTACTTTTTTCACAAAACAACCGGAACAGCAAATGTTTTTTTTCGGATGTAACAGATAAAACAATAGAAACTCAACAACTGAACGTCAATCTGTCAACTTACTTTTTTAAAAGGATATTTTTTTACTCAAGTTTTTCACTTTATTATAAAATTTTTCAAACATTTCTTTCATACAAACCTTATGACAATTACAAACAAAACGAAAAATAAACTAGCGAAATATGTAGGTGCAGCCGTTCTGAAGTAATACGCTTACATAGATTTCGTTGGCTTACTATTACAAGGTTCTATGTTAATTTTAATGAAGTTTAGTAATTTTTACATAGAACTTCGTTATTTTGTTATCGTAAAAAAAAACATAGAACTATGTACAATTGAATATTTTGTAGTTATAGTGCCACTATCTAGTGGTTTGTTTTTGCAAAACTGTAGTTAATGACACATAGAACCTTGTAGCATTAATAGCTAAATAAGTACTAAAATTGCTTCAATAAGTAACCTAGTCATTTGAACTGTGATAGGACAAATAGATTGCTGTACAGTATTAATTTTTTTTTTTTTGAATTTTTTCTTCCTAAACGAGATTATTATTTTCAGAAAACTACGTGGATATATTGATGAGGATATAGAAAAATTCTATGACAGTTTAACCGCAATTACAGAAGCTGACTACGAACCAGAAGAAAATGTAAATAAAATGCATTTAGCCCTCAAAGACTTAGGCTATAGATTTGAAGATTTGTTAAACTTAGTACGTGTAAACATAATTTATACTTAGATTTATGTGAATATTTGACATTTTAAATAAAAATACCTTTTCGGTTTTTTTCATGCCATTTATTTTGATAAGATTTGAGACGTCTAAAAGATTAGTGTCTCCCGTGGCCATATTTGTTGTGAAGTACTCATAATGTCGGGAATCACAAATAAAAAAAATACGCGAAAAACCCAAATCAGAGTGCAATAAAAAAATTTTGTATAGATTTTTTTGATTTTTGGTACAATGCTATGATGGCAAATAACATATGGCCTGCCTTTCTTCGAAAATATTTCACTGTATACAATATATAATGCTTTTAAATCGCCGCTGAAAAACATGGCTTGTTATAAGTTTGACGTATACCAGTATATCTGCCTTAGTGTCATCGAAACTTCCAAATGGATGGGTGGATGGATTTCAACTATTTTTTTCTTTCGAATAAGTACTAGTTTGCTGAGAATTATGTTTGAAGGTTTTGGATATTTTTTTAATTGGTTTCAAGTAAGGTTGTATATCATGGTATTATTATTACACTATTTTATTTAATCAGTGCTGCTTCAACGCAATAATACAATATAAAAACAGTAATTTTCACCCATTTTCACCCCCGTAAGAAATGATTTCCGGGATAAAAACTATACTGCGTCCTTTCCAGGGTCTCAAACTATCTTCATAGCAAAATTCATCTAAATAACTTTTAGTTTTAATAGATTTTTAGTTTATCTATTACAAACAAACTCACAAACTTACAAACTTTACCTCTTTATAATATCAGTGTAGATAAACACAACCAAAACTCATTTAAAAAAGCTTCAAATAATGTAAATTTAATAAAAAAAATGTCTTCCATTTATGATTTTACAGTAAAATTAGGTACATTTATAGATGTTTAGACTAACAATACTTTAAATTTTATTATTATTGTGCTATTCACATTCATGCTCAACGTATATCTAATATATTTAAACGAGCATTTCATGTGTATATATATATATATATATATATATATATACATACATATAATCTGAATCTCGGAAACGGCTCCAACGATTTTCATGAAATTCAGTATACAGGTTTCGGGGGCGATGAATCGATATAGATTAGTATTATGCCTGGGAAAATGCGTGTTTTCGAATTTCCATGCGGATTTCTTTTGCATTTTTCCACGCAAAATATTAAGTTCGATAATTTCGCACGTTCGGATATAAGCGTCACGGTCAAGCGGCCAAGGTGCGAGATTGAATATGTGTCCGGGTTCAAATCCCGGTCGGATACAAAGGTATAATTTATTTTTGTTTTTTTTTCTATTTATTCAAGTTTTTTGTTTTTTTTTAAAGAAAATTGTACTTTTGACCAAAAACTCCGAGTGAAGCTCGGTGGCCCAGGTACTATGCTATAATATGTAAATATTATTTCTAAATTATTTACTGACTTCAAAACAGAGCGAGATTTGCAGTTCTTTAGTTAAGTGTCATGAGCAACATGGTCGATAGAAGATTTTTGATAGGTATGTAGGAATGTGATTATATACATAGATTAATTTATATTTTAATATTTTAGCTGAAGAGACCATGCGATGTTTTCATAGAAAATTGTTTATGGAGATCAAGACCCATCGATTGCTCGATAATGTTTCGAAGTGTCCTAACGTTTGCTGGATACTGTTGTCAGTTCGATATTGAATATTTCAGGTAATTTAAGTAATTTTTGTATTTAAATATACAAACAAAACATGCACACACTATATGTATGTTATGAAATATTCTTAGACTCTATTGGTGTATTGGTGGGGTCACGTAACGATGTTGATATTTGTTTACTTATTCCCTTATCCTGTTTGCTCAGGATAATAGGTTAATTTGCCTAATGTAGTAAATATTATTAACATAATTATTCATCATCTGTGTTCTCTAGTTAAGATAAATCATTATTTTAAGTCCAATATATATACAGACTAGATGATGGAGTAGGAAATCTCTCATTCAGCCATTTTTAACGTCCCACTGCTGGGCACGGGCCTCCTTTCGATACGAGAGGGATCAAGCCATATTTCACCACGCTGACCAAGTGTGCGTTGGACTTCACAAGTCTTTTGAAAACTAGGCAGGTTTTCTCACGATGAAAGAAGTATTTAAATGATAAAATAAATAATAATATATTCTCTTTACCTAATACACACCCATTGCAATGTCATAAAGTATACAGGAAATATATATATATATATATATATATATATATATATATATATATATATATATATATATATATATATATAATAATATTTTTTTTATTTAGACAAAATGCTGATAATAATACCAATTATCGCACCGGAGTGGAGATAACAGAAGCACTTGATTTATTTGTGAATACTAAAAAAATATTTGCAAATGGAACTGTTAGTGAAAACTTTGCTAAGGTAAGTTCTTATTACAGTTTTGTTTCAAAATAACCGAATTTATTATTAGTTAAAAATTTCGACTTAGACGTAAATAAGCTTTTTTTCATCCATAATCCTGGATTTGCTTAGTTTTCGTATTACTAAACATTTTAATATTGTACAAATAAAAATAAAATACACATTATACCTATACAAGTATGTATTTATATAGTAAAATTAAGTTTCCACATCCGTTAATTGTATTGACCAAAAAAATTTGTTTTTATGTAATATGCTAACATTGCCCGCGGCTCCGCCCGCGTTCAGATGACCAAAAACCAAATTCTTAGGTTTTACATATTAGTACACTCTTACATTGTAGTTTTTGTACTTTTTCTTAGAAATGAGACATTTTTCCGCGGTAAAAAGTATCCTATATGTTGACCCGGATAACCAGCTATTACCACACCAAATGTCATCAAAATCCCTCTAGTGGTTTTTCTGTGATGCGGTAACACACAGACAGACAAAATTTCTAAAAACTATAGATTCATAATATTTAGATATTCAGAGATAATAATATTTATTTCAATAAGATTTTCCGAAAAATATTTAATGTACAGATTCGGCTTTGTTACAATTTTATTATACTTTTTATTATACTTTTTACCGCGGGAGATCGTCTCATTCCCACGGGAAAATACGTTATATAATATTATAGTCTATTCCCATACTGACCGCTACAGCATATCTAGAGATGGACCCAAGCGAAGCGAGGGTGAGCCGCTAGTATAAAATAATGAGAGCTTTTTAGAACATACTGGTGTTGCAGTAAATTATAATGATGGAACAAAATGTGGTTGCCATAACATTACACTAGTGCATTAATTGAGAAACTTTGTATTTTAGAGAGTGAGCAAATGTGTTTGTTCATTATTTCTTTATACTAAATGGTGCTTTTGGATGATAGTACATATTTTGAAATAACGCATAGACTACACTAAGGTATACCTAATTCAAGTTTTTATTTTTTTATGCATGAACCAATTCAAATATGAAATTATTTATTCAATATTGGTATATTTTTAGAAGTACATTTAGTGTTTGTCAAAATTTCTAAAGATATCTACCGTTATGTGTATAGGGACCATACATACAATATAACCTAGTAAAATTATGACTGTCAGTACAAAATTTTAATAATTTAATGCTAAATAAAATTATTTACAGTAACTTAAGCAAAGATTTATTAAACCTATGAGAACGTAATACTGTAACTAGCGGCTTTTTGCGCGGAGCCCTATTGATTTTTCCAAAATAAAAGTAGCCTAAGTTACTACTTATAATATCAGGTAACTGCCAGTGACAGTTCCACCAAAATCGGTCCAGCCGTTTCAGAGATTAGCCGAAACTAACAAACAGACAGAAAAAATAAAAATTGTTATTTTCTTTTATGTACCATATATACGTTCATACGCATTTAGTAAAAATCTATTATTTTGACATTACAAACACAAACTTCATTTTTTTATCTGTGTATACATGTACATGTACGAGTATTAGTTTTTTCATATTTTTTTGGCTGTCCTGTAGTGATCGCCGCATGTTGGACTAGAGTAAATCACTAAACCCTGTAGCTGTAATTTACTGCAAGATTTCCTTGGGGGCACATTCCATAACTTCACCTGAGTCTAGAAAGTATTTCCCACAATGCACCTAATGCATATAAATAAAGCATTATTTAGAAGCCAAACTTCACTTCAATGTTGCAGCTTTAAGCTTCTTTCTAGCACATTTATAAAATACTAGCATAACCCGCAGCTTTGCTCGCGCTAAAACTATAAAAAAACTCTAAAAATGTAGATTTCATACAAACTTTCATCCCCTATTTCACCCTCTTATGGGATGAATTTCGAAAAATGCTACAACTAGTATTTATTTAATTGTATCGAAGAGCATTAAGTAATTTTAATTACACACACACGTTTTTTTTATTTATATATACTTATAACATAACTGTGAATGTTTTACCAACAATTTAAACTTTCGTTTGATGCTACGGGGACTTTTTAGTCCTTTTACTACTTACTTACTTTTTACACGGATACTTTTGTATCCGTGGCATTCAAATTATTATTCACTGAAAATATTATTCATTTAATATGAAACCGTATGGATAAAGTTATAACAAAGTATGCATCGCGAACATGGTAAATTCTGACCAACTTTAGTAACTGTATTTGTTCATTAATTAACTTCCGATAAATATTGCAGTTTAAAATCTATACATATGATAAAATTGTAACTAAGCCGAATCTGTACATTAAATATTTTTTTGGAAAATTTTATTGAAATATTTCTTTATTATCGGTACAAAGTCAGAATCTATAGTTTTTAGAATTTTTGTCTGTCTGTCTGTCTGTTACTGCATCATAGAAAAACCACTGGAGGGATTTGATATAGGGTATTTGATTGATGGAGGGTATGATAGCTGGTTATCCGGGTCAACATATAGGATACTTTTTACCGCGGGAAAATGTCTCATTTTTGAGAAAAAATACAAAACTGCAATGTAAGAGTATACTAATATGTAAAACCTAAGAATTTGATTTTTGGTCATCTAAACGCGTGCGGAGCCGCGGGCAATGCTAGTATTATAATATATAATTAATTAATCTAAATAGGTCATACAATACATTGTACAGTTTATTATGTGAATTTTACCCATCTAAAAACGAAGGTATTATGAACACAAGTTTGGCTAAGTTTGTAGGCACCCTACTTGCTGTGTCAGCGGTCGCGGGTTTGAGTTCCGCTGGGGGCATTCATTTGCTGATGAGCACGTTTGTACTCCAGTCATAGGTTTACATTTATAATATGTATGTATTTAAAGTTATATATGCGTAGTGTATCACTCATTTTATGTTTTTCGTTAGTGGTCTATACATTTTAAATAAAACTATCTTTTCGGATTTTTTCGCGAATTTATTTTGATTTTTGGTTCCCGACGTTTCGAATGCTTTACAGCAATCATGGTCTCGGGAGAGTCTCTCCTGAAAAGATAATTTTATTTAAAATGTCAAGTATTCGCGTAAATCTAAGAAAGTATTATGGTCTATACATATTTTTATTTACCGAACATGATGTATAATTATTTGTTTTTATTAAAATATAATAGAGTTATTATAACGTCGTAGTATCAAAAATGTTTAGATTAAATATAAAGGAAAAACGGGAATATCTTGTAACAATTAACACAATCTCACTGAACTGTATAATCAAATCTTTGAAGTTTATCTTGACGTACTTCTAGATGTTTGATCAACTTGATATTGTAATACGATCATTGAGTTGATCTAATGATCAAACCTGGAATAATTTTAAAATAACTTTAAATTATCTACAGTAATAACTCGGTTGAATTGAACGAAACAATAGATTGTGAGAGAGTGGGCGGCGGATAGCATCAGAATATTGATGGAATAATAAATCCAAGGGGTTGTGTTAACCCTTGCTTAAAAAATATACAGGCTACCAGTTTTGTATTTATATATGAAAGAAGATTTTCCTGAACGTAGTGTGGGCTTTTTTACAAAAACTTAAGTGAATTTTTTTTTCTGAGACTCTTAAAGTTATATGAGTATACGTAACATATATATTAGATATACGTCATACATATACGTTAAAATATTGGTTTTTGAATAAAAACCAATTTGAACTATAATTAGGTAATTAGGTCTCGTACGTGACCTTAATTGCTGTAAGGCATTCGAGACGTATAGAACAATAAACAAAATTAAACCGATAAAATATCCAAAAATAATTTTATTAATAACTTTTAAAATATATGATTATGATGATAAATTCACATTTTCTTAGACTTTAACAGTTATTTCAATTACGCGTTTTAATGTTTAGCAATCGCAATATTAACTTTGTTTTTCATAGATTATTTTTACGATCTATTAAATGAGTATTGTTCTTATGTAAATATTTTGTCTATACATATAATAAAATTCTGAGTCAAATCTGTACCTACATTAAATATTTTTTGGAAAATCTTATTGAAATAGAAATATTCTGTCTGTCTGTTTACGCACCACGAGAAAACCGCGGGACAGATTTTGATGATATTTGGTACGATGATAGCTGGTTATCCAGGTCAACATATAGGATACTTTTTACTGCTGGAAAATGTCTGATCTCTGAGAAATCTATATTAATCACTAACACGTAACTAGAGACGAACCCGAGCGAAGGAGGGTGAGTCGCTAATTATATTATAATAACTAACGACTTATCCACTCGTTTCGCTCGGGTTCATTCCTAGGTACGATTTAAAGGTTAATATGGAATAGATAGTCAATATATTATATGTTATATAGCCTATAGCCTTCCTCAATAAATGGGCTATCTAATGTAAAAAGAATTTTTCAAATCGGATTAGTAGTTTCTGAGCGCGTTATTAGCGCGTTAATAAAAAAAAACTTTTTAACAAAAAAATAAAAACCGACTTCAAACAAAAGCACTAAAAAGTAAAAAATTACTGATTGGTAGTTTTCATTTACTATACATACCAGTCAGTAGAGCGGACGCTATGCGCGTACATAAAATTCGGTGATTTATTTTTATTTATATAGAAGATAGATAACTATTAACTGTATAAGTAACTAATGATTTAAATATACTTTCCAGCTCTACGTGTTCGACAAAAATGACAATTTAACTTTTTTAGATAGTTATATATCCTTGACTCCGGCTACGTACTACGACGTAACAGTAAAAGTTTGGACTATTGATTCTTCTGAAGAAGTAAAAGCTCTTTCACTCTCGAATCGCAAGTGCTTTTTGCCAAGTGTAATGAATATTTACTAATATTAATGCACTAAAAATTCTTATACACATAGCTTATACAGACAGACACAAAACGTTTTTGTTAAGGTTCTTTTGGACTTTTAAATTACAGATGGACTCCAATTTGATTGTTAGAAACTTACAATTATTAAGCATAAATAAAAAAAATGTTAGTATTTTTATTCTTTTAAAGAAATGTTATGTATTACAGGACACTAACACTATAAGGAATTCATATCAAGGATGTATGACTTCTTTAGTTATGAAGAAGATTGTAGAAAATTGTAGATGTTTGCCTTTCCGTTATAGTTGTAAGTATATTTGTTAGCAAATATTTTATAACGAGTATTTTAACATTTAGTATATTTAATACGACTGCGGTGAAACGTACTAAGGACTTAGCTCAAAAAGTTTGTAGCTCGTTTTTCGTTTGTTGGTTAGAATCAAATGGTATCATTAGCTATAACACTTTGCTAATGGCTTTGAACTTGTAAGTTATGCCAGAGAATTACTATACACACATACATGATACTCGTACTTACATAAATTAAAAAAACAGCTGTCTGGAGCTGTTGAGTAAAAAATAGAAGAAGAATTAATAATACAAAAAATATTTTTTTGACAGCATTATACGATAACGAATTAACATAATAATTCAATTATAAAGCAAAGAAACTGTTATTAATTTTTTTTTATTTCTTGGCCAATTTGTTTAATTTTGCATAATAATTAATTAACGTTGAGGCAATTTGAATTCAAATTTAACCAATCTTCTTTTACTTGATTAATTAGCTTCAAAGATACCATTGTACGAGTATATACTGTGATAGCCCAGTGGTAATGCGCTTGCTTGGAAATCCAAGTGAAACGGGTTCAAATCCTTCGTGTTGCACCACTGATATTATCATGTGCGCATTATTTTCAACATGCTTACCATTTGCCTGACGGCGAAGAAAAACATCGTGAGGAAACCTGCATGTCTGAGAGAACTTAGTAAGTTTTCGAAAGACATGTTTAGTCTGCCCGTACTTGGCCAGCGTGGTGGACTATGGTCTGATCCCCCTCGTACTGAAGGGAGGCCCATGCCCAGCAGTGGGACGTTAGAAAGGGCTGAATACATACATATACATATATACGTTTATATAAAGCGAATGTCATGATTATTGGCGGTTGTTGTTTGTTTTACGAGTTGGGCAAAATCACAGACGTTTTTTGGTGATGTGGTAACATTATTATACTTAGCAATTATATTATTATATACATTATTATTATATATTATACATTCAAATTACTTTCAGCGAACGACCTCGATGTGGGTGATTATCTCAGCTGTGCTTGGGAGAGATTCAACTGTGTATACAAAATATTAGGTAGGTATGATGTGTAATGAAGTGTTTACTATGTAAATATTCCTTTAATTACACAATATTGCCCGCGACATCAATAGCGTAGTAAGTGGAGTAGGGATCAAAGATAGCTTCATATGTCCGTCTGTCTGCCTGTGTCCCCATGGTACAATTTATGACATTGCCAAATTTAATCAAAATTTGTTTAGAGGTTTAAGTATGAAAAGCTTACTTTATTATTAGGAAAAGGAGTTAAGTACGTTTACAATTTTAGTATGGATCATCGGCTAGTTGGTCTAAAGTTTGGTATGTACGGCTGCAGATCTATAGATCTTGCTTTCGAATCCTAGGTCGGACCGAGTGTATTTATCGGGTGTTTCTTTTAAAATATTCTAAGTAACAACCCGGAGTTGAAAAGTTAGCGATGGTACACTACAGTGACTCGGAAAGCACGTGAAGCAAACAACAAAAAATAATTATTTAAATACAAATTTTGTTGGAAGAAATTCGTATACTGAACACCCCCCCTCCCCCTCCCTCTCCCCCCAATAACATGTGTTAAAATAATATCTCGAATATAACTACTAGGTTCATAAAGTTTTTAAAAATATCCACTTGTAATACCTCTTCGAATATTTAGAATATAAAAACAATATAAATTATTGTCTAAAAATTTGTCTATTTTTAATTTTAATTTTCTCTATATTTACAAAATAAATTAAATGTAGACAAATTTTAACGAATTTCACTTATTATATATTTGCTATAATCCAACTATGTTTTTTATAATAGTATTCTGTGCTTCTCAAAATGTTAAGTGTTTTTGTTGCATGTAGCATTTTTGTTGTTAGCTTTAAAAAAGATAAACAAAAAACAAAAATAGCAAGTCTATGAAGTAAAAATATGTGATTTAATTAAATTTTTCTTCATTAATTACAGGTAGGGTGCAGAATGAGGTTCGCGACATAATATCTGAATACGAGTGTTTCCAGAAATGCGACTATGTACAGTATGAGACTGAAGCAGAATATATGAAATTAGGTCAAGGCGCTGAGTAAGAGCATTGTTTCTACATCACACTATTAAAATTAATGTTATTATAATTAATGTAAAAGTTTGAGAGGGTATATGGTTTGTGTGCACTTGCTACTTGTTCACGTTTTAATGTCTTAACAAATTATAGTGCATATCGTATATTTAGATACTTTATTGAATACACAGAATAGAATTCAGAGAGAGAGAGAGAGAGAGAAAGAAAGAGAGAGAGAGAGAGAAGTGGAGAGTGCAGAATATAGGTAAGTTATAAAAGCAAAATAGATGGAAACGCGATAGCACCGCCTGTTCGAAAGGTTATATGTCATAGATTACGTGTTACTATGACGTATGTACCTACTCGTACAGTACAAAAAACGTTGGCTAAAGAATTTGTGGAACTAAAAACTATTTAAGATATATAAAAGCAAACGAGAATGAAAAAAGTAAATCACATACTAATTTAAATAAAACAATGATTTTTTTAGAACTACTGGCGAGTTACGATAGCAGTTCTCGCCCGTATATTTATATTAGTTACACGATTACCGAGAACGAATTTGTATACAAAGAGAGTTTTCTATTATAAAAGAAATGAAAATCGGTTAACAAATGGGAAAATTGGGAAAACACAAAGAAACACAACCTTACTCCTACCTCCTGCTTTTTAGGTTAATTTAGTCAAATAATCGTGGGTATTTATACTAATATTTTAAATGTAAAAGTACCTTTTCACGCTTAAACCGCTGAACAGATTTCGATAATATTTGGCAAGGATATAAATTGCATCCTGGGAATGAACGGCGACTTGTGATCCCCGCTCTACTTACCACGCGAGAGAAGCCGTGGGTTAAACCTAGTATAATCTATACTAATATTATAAAGAGGTAAAGTTTGTGAGTTTGTGAATTGTGAGTTTGTGACGTTGTAGGGGGTAATCTCTGGATCTACTGAACCGATTACGATGAAATTTATTAAGAAGATAGTTCTACCCTAGGAAGGACATAGGACAATTTTTATCCTGGAAATCATCCCTCAAGGGAGTGGAAATGGGGATGAAAATTTGTGCGGGGAATCGTTCTAGTCACGAACCCGGGCGAAGCGAGGTTGAGTCGCTAGTATATAATATTATAATACTGATTAAAGAACCGTGTGGTGCAGTTGTTGTGTTACTTACTTCTTATAAAATTACGGGTTTGAGACCGTTTAGAAATATTTGCAATGTTTTTTTATAAGTACGTTTTAGATAATAATGTATGCTGTATATATAGCCCTATAATTAAATAATGCATATTTTATGTACAAGCCAAACTTGCTCTAACGTTTCTATCGAAATATAAGATTTATTGAGTATTCTGAATTGAACGTGGTCGAACGAAAGGTCTTTGTTTAAGAAGATTTATGGATTAAGGTTGTTATCGCTATTGTGAAGAGAAGACTCTAAATGTGAAATTAATTAAAAGAAACTTTATTATAGTAAACTAGCATTGCCCGCGGCTCCGCCCGCGTTCAGATGACCAAAAACCAAATTCTAAGGTTTTACTTATTAGTATACTCTTACATTGCAGTTTTTGTATTTTTTCTTAGAAATGAGATATTTTCCCGCGATAAAAAGTATCCTATATGTTGACCCGGATAACCAGCTATCATTATACAAATTTCATCAAAATCTGTCTAGTGGTTTTTCTGTGATGCGGTAACAGACAGACAGACAGACAAAAATTATAAAAACTATAGATTCGGCCTCTGTATCGACAATAATGTCTATTTCAATTCCCGAAAGATTTTCCAAAAAATATTTAATGTACAGATTCGACTTAGTTAGAATTTTATTATATGTATAGATTAAAATTTATTTTTAAATCACTCTCTTTACACTTTATCAAAAGGGAAACCCCTTTTGATAAAAAGTGTAATAAACTTAGGGTTTTAATTATATCCCTCATTTCTTTCACTAAAATTTAAAAAGTATCCTATTTAATCATTTTAATTTTTGCATTTTTGCGTGGCGAAGATTTTCTGTAGCAACACGAAAAAGTTAAAAAAAGCTTTATTAACAAAACAAGATTGAAATAGATTATCCAAACAAAATGAACGTCAGTCGAGTGTTGTGCATATATTTTTATTACGCTCTTTGTTCATCTTTATCTTATTTATATTATATTTATATAAGAATGATTATAATGACAACTCTATAGATGCCCCACAGACAGACAGATAGTATCCCCATTAGTAGGTATTATGAATGCGAAAGTTTAGATGGATGGATGTTTGTTACTCAATCACGCCAGAACGGCTGATCAGATCTGGATGAAATTTGGCACAGAGATAAATAATAGTCTGAAATAGCACATTTTTCATATTGAATAAAATGAAATTGAACAAAACTATTTTTCAACGTTTTGCGTCCCCCCCATTTCTCAGGGGTAACTGGACATGGCGGGCATTTTACGAATTTCTATTCCTTATATACCTGCTAATATTTTAAAATTAAAAAACTTCAGGTTTTCAATATATTTTTTCTCTCTTAAAAATAAACGGATTCCGATTGGACTAATAGTCTAGAATAGCAGATAGGTTACTTTTTATATAAAATACATTTTTCCGGGATAAAAAGTAACCTATGTGCTATTCTAGACCGGACACGGTTACCGTGGGATAGATTTGTTTCTGTTTTTCGCTAGGGGTAAACCTGAGCGAACAAAAAAAACTAAATTAAAATCGGTTTGGGCACTACGACGTCACAGGCAGACACACGGTAAATAGATACACACGTTAAATTTATAACTACCCTCTTTTTGTGTCGAGGGCAAAAAAAATGATTCGTGATCAATTTGATCAATGAATTATCAATTTCACAATTTAATTTCTGAGAATTCTGTAATATCTACCGGTTTTACATGTTTTTTTTATGTTTTGTGAATTTATTAAGTGAGAATCCAACTACATTTTCTCGTGCATGTAATAACGCACGACAAAAACATACCGAGCTCATACATATAAAGCGGTACAATTTTCATTTCAAGCATTGCCTCGACTCCCTAAAACCGCTATTCGAATAAAGCCTCTATCTACTTAATGGTAAATACGTAATAGGTACAAATATGTGATGTGGCGATACACGACCTTAGACGCTTGACTACAATTAATTAATAAACAATTAATTTTATTTATTACTAGCATTGCCCGCGGCTCCGCCCGCGTTCAGATGACCAAAAACCAAATTTTTAGGTTTTTCAAATTAGCATACTCTTACATTGCAGTTTTTGTATTTTTTCTCAGAGATGAGATATTTTCCCACAGTAAATAGTGTTCTATATGTTAACCCGGATAACCAGCTACCACCATACCAAATTTCATCAAAACCCTCTAGTGGTTTTTCTGTGATGCGGGTAACAGATAGACAGACAGACAGACAAACATTTTTAAAACTAAAGATTCGGCCTCTGTATTGATAATAATGTTTATTTCAATAAGATTTTCCAAAAAATATTTAATGTACGTACAGATTCGGCTTAATTACAATTTTATTATATTTATAGACTAGCAACTTAACCTTGCTTGCTCGGGTGCGTGCTAATAGTACAAGTAGCTGATACTTCAGGTTATAAGTATATCTGTGTAATAAACTTTCAAATCTGTTTAGACATTTCAGTATAAAGAAGTAACAAACAAACATACATATACATACATACAACCTTTCGCATGTATAAAAGTAGTACGTTTAGTGACCCTAGATAACTTTGCAAGCATGCGGTGCATTCGTATCGATATAAGCACGCGTCGTGCTTCGGACGGGTGTAGAATTTATAAATCTTTAAACTTGATAAAAATATTATTAAAAAAAATAAACCTTATAATTGTCCTGCTCCTGATACTCTATATTCATCTCATTCTCTCAAAGGTTACTTTTCTGAAGTTTCACTACTTCCGTGTGTGAATTTCTCTCGACGGCTTAATCTAATATATAATCGGCAGCCGGCTTCATATTTATGTGTTTGTCTCTTTCTAGTGTCACATTTTCGTTTCATCGAGTTTCAAATTACAACGATTCAAAAGAAGTTTTACGTCAAAAAATTTAAAATCCAATGATTTCTTCCTACACTAAAACTTACAAAATTTACCTTTTTATAATTTTTGTGTATATTTCATATTTTTTTATTACTTAGAGTAAAAGAAGGCAGCTGTCGGGTGGCGATACATTTCATCGACATTACATGTATAAAATATCGACGAGAAGTGCTTTACACGTGGGATCAAATGCTTGGTAAGCTCAAAATTCTTTCTTGTGTATGTCCTTGCCTTGTTGAAGTTTGAATAACATCTTTCAAAGGTATATTAACAATTAAGTTAGTTTTATAATCAAAATACGAACTAAACACCAACTACAGTTGTATAAGAATAACTAAAATAAAACTTTTGTATTGTATTACGCTTGTAGAGAAGGTTTTTTAACGATGGCATATGCATTTAGGCATACCACCTGCATATATAAACATAATAGAATAATATAATCACTACATAGTATAAAACAAAATCGCTTCCCGCTGTCTGTCTGTCCCTATATATGCTTAGATCTTTAAAACCACGCAACGGATTTTGATGCGGGTTTTTTTAATAGATAGAGGGATTCAAGAGGAAGGTTTATATGTGTAATATATGAATATTATAGTACAATATTACCGAGAAATTCAAAGATTTGTATTTCATACTAACCGTTAAAAACCGCTTCTCGCTCGTATATTATTATTTAACACTAAGGGACGGACCCAGGCCAAGCAAGGGCTACCAATTAGTCATTAAAAAAACTAAATTTAGAACTGTTATATGTTAATAAAATGATTATTTTTCAGCAAATTTAGGTGGCATCTTCGGTTTGTGTCTGGGTGGATCCATTATCAGTGTCATTGAGTTGTTATGGTTTCTCATAGAGCTATTATACACGCTTTGTGATCAAAGGCGGGTGATACCAAACAAAAGATCAGCGTTCATTGTGAAGACAAATTATATGTCACCAAAGAAAAAGAAAAATCAGATATATCCCTATTTAAATTAGCTACGACAATTAAGAAGAAAGATGCCCATTCATTTATTAAATATACTTTATTTAATAAACTTTACATCTTATGTATAGGTTTTAATGAACTGTTGTGCTTGGAAGCATATTTCGTGATTATTCTATAAATATCTATAGTAGATATGACGATCATATAATGTACTTTAGTACCATAATATTGTAAGGTAGGTACTTTTAGTGTCATTTTAAATATTTTTTTTGTTATTTTGTGGGTAGGCTGTCTGTAACAATTACATATTGCCTTTGAGACATCTAACACTTCAGTCTCTCCCGTAACCATGATTGCTGTAAAGCATTCGAAACGTCGGGAACCAAAAATCAAAATAAATCAGAAATTTTATTTAACATTTTAAGTAAATCAAAGTAAACATGTGTGTGGTTTGTAGAAAGTATAGATATATTTTTAAATTTGAAGCGTTATTGACACAAAAGATCAAAATATGAGAATTGCCATCAGAAAATGGTCATCTTAATTTCATCGTTTATGAAGATGATGAAAAGAAGAGTTTTTAAAAGTTAGTTATATAAGAGTTAATATAATTAAGTACAACTGGACTCTTAAATAGAACAATTATTGACAGTTCTGACAAGGTTATTAGATATGTTCGCATTTTGCTTACGCCATAACTGATTATTATTTATACTACTCAATATATATATATATATATATATATATATATATATATATATATATATATATATATATATATATATTATATACATATATATATATATATATATGTATGTATGTATATATTTAAGTAGCTGAAAAGTATAACTAAGGCTTCATTCAACATTTATTTTAATTGCTATAAATTATAATAATTGCAATAGATTTACTTAAATTTAACTTAATAAAACCAAAAAAAGATAAAACAAATGTTAAGTTATTTTTGTGAGTCAGAAAGATTTTTTTTATCTAAGTTCACTGCAGATTCCTTTGAGAAGTAATATATAGCGAAAAATGATTTAGGGATGCTAGAATAAAATAAATAAATGCTTTACAAAAACATTTTTGTTTTTTACTCGTATATTTACTTCCTATCTCCTTAAGTAATAATAAATGTATATTTAATGAAAAAAGAATCCTGATTCAAAATAGTAACCATCCACCCTTTTTTAGACTTAGCCCTCAATATTTTTGCGAGCAACTTGTGTTTTTTTTATTATTATCTATAAACTATATGGGGTGGAACGAATCAAGAGAACATGGAAGAAAAGTACCTAAAATATTGAAGTTATAAAATTTCACTCAAAAAAACCTTCTTTTATTTAAAAAAAAAATTATAATTACTACATTTAAAAAAAAGCTTATCTGAACAAGTGATCGAACCAACTAAAATTACAATAAACTTAACTAAAAATTACAATGTAACAGGCACGATTTCATCGGATCATCCGATAGAATCTAGACTTGTCCCATTCTATATAACCAAAACACGAGTAGATACCGTATAAAAACTTAAAAAAACCGACTTCCAGGCACTAAAATGTAAAAAATAACTAAACGGGGGTTTTCATTTTAAATAGATACCTAATCAGATATTTTCGAAGTCGGTGCCAGCAGATGCAAAGCAAATCTAATATATTTCGATATGTAAAACACAAATTTACCTATTAGATATTCATATCTCAAAATATTGTCAGAGATAAAATCCCGTAGTAAAAAGTAGCCTATGTGGCTCTCCAGACCTACATCTATCTTCACACAAAAAATCACTGTTTTGATGTAAAAGAAGGACAAACAAACAAGCACACTTTCACATTTATAGTATTAGTATGGATATGGATAGTTATTACTCAAAATTCAAAATTCGAAATGTACATTACAGTTGATCAAAAGCATGTTCTATTTTTACGACTATCTTTATGCAAATCATAGAAAAACGTTTAAATTTTAATCTATAGTATCTTCAAAGAACAATAGAATATATTATTACTATGAAAACAAAGGAAGGCTTTATTTTAAGCTCGACACCATATTATCGAAAGCTCATCAAACGCTTTTAGAACGATACAATCAGCAAAAGGCATTTAAGCTTACAGTGTTCTCGAGCCTTTGTTGATTGAACACTAGTTATATTGGTACATGGCTCTGGGCAAGCTCTTTGTGTTGTAAATACCTGTATATTTTTATATACAACGTACATTTCTGTTGGAAAAAAACTGTATTAGATTGATATTTTTAGATTTTGTTTTCTTTGGCGCAGAAACGAATACGTGACGTTAAGCTTAAATATATTATTGGACTTATATAATAATTGTAACTGAGTCGAATCTGTACTATAAATATTTTTTGGAAAATCTTATTGAAATAGGCATAGCGACTGAATCTATAGCTTTTAGAAATTTTGTGTATCTATCTGTCTATCTGGGAACGCATCACGAGAAAACCACTGGACACATTTTGATGAAATTTGGTATGATAATAGCTGGTCATCTGGGTCAACATATAGGATAATTTATTCTAGGGCAAAATATCTCATGTCTGAGAAATCTATTGTAAATGTTAAAACGTAACTACTTACGAACCCGAGCGGAAGGAGGGCGAGCAGCTAGTTATGTTATATAAATAAGAAAGTTTGTGCATGTACATATGTATGTCTGTTACTCCTTCAAGCAAAACAGCTGGACGGATTTGGATGAAATTAAGTTCACAGATAGACTATAATCTGGAGTAACGTACAACTTTTAGGTACCTAAGGAGAAAAGCAAGGATAAGTTGCTAGTACTAATAAATAAAAAGCTTTCGGTAAATATTATGAAACGAATGTTAAAATGTCGTGAGTGTTGGTTTGTTTATCACGCTGTAAGCTTAACGAATTTGGGTGAAATAAATATTTTATGTTATAACTCGTAAGCTTCTTATTAACGACCTAACACGTAAGCGATTCAGGTAAACACTACTTCACGTTGCCTAGGTTACGTAAGGCTTTTTGAGGGTAATGATGGAATAAGATAAAAATAGCCTCTGTTGCTTTTCAATCCATAAAATAACTCTGTTAAAAATAATTTGGTTACTGGTTTTTTTTATTTTGTTTATTAATTAAGACGTAAAACTCCAATTATCGCCACGAAACATTAAAGAGAGTCATTGTTCAAGTGCTCGACTTATATGAACACCAACTTTGATGCGTTATTGGAAAATTAATAACGAAAACTAATATTTCAAGCAAATTTTCACTCTACGTCACTTAATATTTTAAATATACTCGTAGCTACCACTGAAACAACCAGATGGCGAATTACACACGCCTTCAAGTAAATAATAATAAAATATAATATAAAAGTTACGCCATTCGAAAAACCTTTTTTCTCATATGTAATTACCAATTCTCCTTCACCTTTCGTAGGTCACAACCTACATATTGAACAATAAGCCAAACTTAGCGTGCAAGTCCACGTTATGTTCCATCTACTCTTTAAACTGGGCACGTTTAATCAAACTCTCTATACGAAATAGAGCAGTTTAATCAACAGTGTTAGTGTTACAAAATTTTACTTCGTTTACCGAATGCTGTATAAAGTAAGCAAGTAATAAGTATCCAAAAGGTTAGTTGTAAGATACTTTGGTGCTATTTTTGCATATTGGAAATCAAAGTATAATTTTGTGGGTAGTTGCTGTATGTATAATGACCTATGAGACGTCTAAAACCTTAGACTCTACCGTGATCATGATTGCTGTGAAGCATTCGAAACGTCGGGAATAAAAAATCAAAATAAATCGGAAAAAAATGCGGATAGATTGATTTATTTATGATTAATATAGAACAAAAATTAATTTAAATGAATATATTATTAATTTGAACATTAAATTTTAAGTAAATAAAATATCTGTTTTGTAATATTGGATATTATATATTTTTTAACTTTTCTAATAACTTTTTTAGTAATTAATGCATACTAGCGTTCGTCTAGTGATCGGAATTCGAACATGATCATTATTGAAAATTTGAGGAAAACCTATTACATAATTTACCTATTTATATAAAAAAGTAAACGTTTCCAAAATATATCTATTGATTGCACTAAAACTTGTCAATAACCACTAAACAAAAAATCGTAAGACAAACAGAGGAGAAAAAGGTACTGGAATGTTTTGTCTTTGCCTATTTATGTATAAAGTAACTATTATTATGATATTATTATAATTATTTTTGTTGTCATAGCAACTACATTTATTATTAAACTGATTAAGCCTATAATCGGCAATTGTAAAGCACTAGATAGATACAATAATACGGATCCCTCATTGTTATTACAATTATTGCTATGTTACCAGTCTGTTATTACATATTTAATATATTAACTTGTTTCTTATATTTTTACTAATAATTAAATTCGAAAATATGTTTGATGATTGATTGTGGTTTTTTTTATTATTTCGCGGTTTTTTCTCTGTATTCGTGACAGAACGAAAATTGTCTTGCATAAAAGTTTTTGCTATTATTTCTATTCATTTTGACCTCATGTTAGAATTGAACCTGCTAAACCCGTTGAAGAAAAACAAACTATCTGGCGTTCATCCCATCACACCATTAGCTTAGTTTATTGCAATTAAATTACATATTATAATATAATATATCCTTTGTACAATTTTATATGTGCAAAATTAAAACAGAATATATGAAGAATTAACATTCAATATCCTCAGACGAGATTATCATAAGTACGTTATTATAATATTACCTTATTATATATAATTCACTACAAGATAACGATGCTACAGATTAATTCTGTTACTTCTCACACAGGAAATGTCTTTGTATTTACAAAATTACTCCCTTTGATTATATACGGACTTGCTACTAGCTTGTATTAAATGCAAAGTCAATCTGAAAATTTACTTTACTGAATAGAATTTTGCAAGCACTTATGAAGTGTCGATTCATTTTTTTTAATTTTTTAAATTTATCAGTACCTGGACCAGTACAGTAGGTAATATTAGTTAAAGGCAGTGGTAGCCCAGTGGTGAC